TGGGCTGTCATGTCGCCTTCCTCCCCGGTCGTTTGCTCTGGACAGCTCCATGGTAACTTGCATTTTAAAGAGACTTTGGATTGAATATTTAGGATGCCATTCCTGTTGTTTAACTTGTTTGCGTTGTGTCACTTAATTCCTCACCATGAATGAACAAAATGAAGGGTGATTAAGTATTTATTAAGGTCAGCCCTGAGCTTATCTTGCCCCTGTGGGCCTCTCAGCACCTTACAAAGAGCCGTTTAAAAAAAAAGAGAGAAATGCCAAAGCTTTCAAAAGCTCCAGTGAATTGCTTGTCTTGGCTTAAAACTCTTCATTGAGTTTATGGGTCACTCTTTATATATGCAAATATTTATATATTACGACTTTCTAAAAATAGACCCGTTCCTTTCTCTGAGTGTTGTTTGGAAGTAAAATTTCACTATGAAGTCATAGAACAAAATATTGACTTAATCAGACTGGAGTTAATTCATATCTGTCCTGGCTTGTCCTTTAATTACAGTGTATAAAATCATGTCCATTGTTGTGCATGTCAGTCCTTATTTGCATATGTGTGGGTGAAGGATCCTGTGTACATGAGCATACATGTGCATATCTCCGCTACGTACATGCATGTTTGTATTTGCAGCAAGAGGATTTATAGGTTTGTTGTGTTTTGTTGCAGCGGAGCAGCGGGCGTGCCGGCAGGCATGCAGTATCCACACGTAATGTTTTGGCCAGACCTGAACTCAGGAGTGGTGTGTCAGTCAAACCTGGTGTTGAGCCTGAGCCATAGACACCACAAAGAGAGGAGATCCTCTCCTGGGAGGCACATATTATTTTCACTTTTTTTCCCCTAAGTGCTGGGCTTTTTTTTCAGTCACTCATGCTCAGTCTGCATGTCAGCTTATAGATTCATACTTTGGGGAATATGCACACTTTGTGTAAGGGTGAAAGATGAGATGATCTATAACACTCTTATATCTGGCTGTTAAATATGAAACTACAACCAGCAGTTGGTGAGCTTAGCTTAGGGGGGCCTGGGTTGTTTGGCTCTGTCCAATGTTCAGAAAGTATGTTTGAAGTAGAAAGTAAGATGAGAGGATTTAGAAACCTATCTGAACAGTTATTATGAAGCTACAGCTAGCAGTTTGTTAGCTTAGCTTAGCATAAAATGAAACGAAGGGGTTTATTTCATCCGACTCTGCCCAGTGTTTACAAAGTATGTTTAACATGGAAAGTTGACAATAAAAGATTCAGAATCAATGTTAATATCTGAACAGTTGACTAAATATGAAGCTACAGCCGCTATCAGTTGGCAAGTTTAGCTTTGCACAAAAACTAGAAAACAGAAGAAACAGCTTGCCTGGATCTCCCTTTTTACCCAATTAAACTATCTGTACCTGCAAAGCTCAGTAATGATGAATACAAATGCGATGGACAGAGCCACATTAGCTGTTTTATCTATCTATATT